TTTTTTTTTTTTTTTTTTTTTTTTTTTTTTTTTTTTTTTTTTTTTTTTTTTTTTTTTTCAATACCAAATGTTTCAAGGCGGAAAAATCAATGTCAAATAAAAAGGAGCCATGCTAAAACAAAAAAGGGCTCCAATCAAGTAAAAGGAAACTTAAAAGATAATTATAAAAAGTCTTAATGATTGAGGCTCAAAGAGAGACATGCAACCTAAAATGAGCTCAAGGGTCCCCTTAAATCTCTTTGACTCGCTAAAACCTTGTTGTTCCTCTCGATCCAAATACCTTACAAAAGTTGATATGGGTGTTTGAATATGAATAAGATGACAGGAGAACTTTTGTGCATACCAGATCCAATCTGAAACTTCCAATTTCTATTTGCTAAAGTGGTTCTTGCAAATGTTAGAAACTCTTGATTCAATAGATTTTCTTTTTCCTTTCCCTTTATTGGGAGGCAGGTTGACTCAGCATAATATATGTACTCACATTAGTCCAAATAATATTTCATGTTTGTCAGCAATGTGTTCCAAAATATCCCAACATGTATGTTTTTGCAGGGAAGCTTTGCTTTCTCATATAACAACTGGGGACGATGTAGAAGTCTTGGGTGCTCTAAGTGTTCTGGCTACACTATTGCAGACAGAAGGTCAGATCAATGCAGTTATTCAACTTCCTTCACTCCGTTATTCTTTTCTTATCATGCATCCCATCTCTGTAGAGCTGGATGAATCAATGCTGGATGCGCTTGGAATCCTTCCTCAAAGAAAACAACATAAGAAATTGTTATTGGTACTCTTCCATGATATACAGGACTCTTTCAATAGATAGCATGTGTTGGTCCTTTTCCATTATGTTCTCGTCAGGCTTAATTTTGTTTTCTTGACTGATATCAACGAACATTATTGAGCACTTCTCAAATGGACAATATGTGAAGAAAAAAAAAAAAGTATGCCTGCCTGGAATTTCCATATTTTAATTTGATCTCTTGATACTTCAGATTTATGTAGCAATTTATTGATTTTTGATTGCTCCATCTATCACACTGAACTTGATTATTGGCATTTTTCTAAATTTATTTTGAAATTATTTGCATCTGAACTTGTGATTTATTTTTTGTAATCTTGGAAGTATAGATATTTGAAGATTTATATCAGTTTATAATCCATTTCCAGTAGATTACAGTATTTGTGTCAACTTCAATGAAGTAAATTTTAAGGCTGTTTGTGGGGTTGAATCCTCAATTACGTTGTTAACATATTGGTCATCTTCAATGGACTCTGTAGTGTTAAATTTTTATTTGTATTTTTATATGCTTTTATGAATAAAGTTCGAAAAATTTGGGTCTGTAACTTTAAATTGAGTTTTATTCTTTCCTGATGCTCTTGCATATGTGGCTCTGTCTTGTCACTGTTTTTACATGTTGCAGTTTACGGCCACATTTGATCATGTTTTCAGAATTTGAGTACTTACTACCTGTTAAGAACCTAAGATTATGCTGTTTTATTTTTGCACCTGCTTTTTGACAAACACGTTCAGACAAGTCTCAAATTATAAATTATATTCAACAGGAAGCCTTAGTTAGTGAGGATTCTGGCGAACAGCAACTCTTTTCTTCAGAAAACGCCTCATCGAAAGGTGGCATCGATGTTGAAATTGATGGTTACCTAAAGAAGCTTAAGGTACTCATTTTGTCTTCCATGCTTCCACTAACCTTCTTACATGCTAATATTAAGAAAGGAATCATATTTCTTCGGCCTCTTATTGCATACAAGAATTGTAATACTGAAAGGCTTTCAAGGGCTACTCTGATAATATTTTAGTTGCATTTCTGAAGTTAAACTCTGGTTTTTTATTATGGCACCTTAGTTTGAGGACAAAAAGGTTTAATTTTATGCTGCTTGATTCTTATTTGATCACTTGCTAACTGTTTTCTGCCTTCCTCTCTAACTATCAGGATTATGGCATTTCATATTTTCTTAAAGTAGGTGCAAGCCCTCGTGCCCTTAGGTTTGAGGTACTTCTCTTTATCTTATGGATATGAATTTCATTTGGATCAGAAACACTTTTCATATATTGTGTGTTAGTGATGATAAAAGTTTCTCACTTATGCTGAAGCGAAAACCAAACAAAAAGAACAGACCGTTAAAGCTACAGTTAATGATAAATTATTCTGTTGTTACATGAATCAAGATGGTTATCTCCTCCTGAAATGATATCATTTTATTCACGTAACAGCGTGAAATCATTCTTGTACTACGAGCGTGGGTGGGTTAATCCATTTTTATTGGCCATGTTCTAGGTGCTAGATGCATTGGTCAGCCTCTTTTATCGTTCAAATATATCTGCAGAAATTTTGTGGGATGGCGGGTGGCTTCTGCGGCAGTTGTTACCTTATAGTGATGCAGAGTTTAACAGTCATCATCTAAAATTGCTGAAAGTAAGTTATATATGGAAGAGGAATGAGAAGTCACATTCTATTTCTGTTATGGATTCCTTGAAGGAAATGCATCATGATTATTACTTGTATCTGTAAAAGAAAATGTTTAGCCTTGTTTTTTCTGATCTTTTTCTCTTTGATATCTAATAGGATTCATACAAGTACTGGGCTACTGAGCTCTTACAGGAAGCTAGAGGAATTTGGTCTGATTTCCTCGTAATAATTCTTTCTGACAAGTGGAAAAAGTGCAAAAGAGGTACTTAATGATGAACGATTAGCTAAGAAGCACAAATACGAATTTGAGACATGGATACAATACAACACGTACTAGAAAGAAATTCAAAATCAATAAATTTATGCATTTATACGCTAAAGTTGAGTGTTAATATATCTCTCTGATATGATATGGAATCACTACAAGGGGGAGTAAGATTCGGATTTCCTTGTTGATTAAATATCTCAAGGCAAGAACATTTGTTTGAGATTCGAATCACTCTACAAGCAAGATTGATCATGTCCAGCTTGAATGATTCTTGTTGATTAAATATCTCAAGAAAAGAACACTTGTTTGAAATTTGAATCACTCCACAGGTAAGATTGATCCTGTCTAGCTTGAATGATTCTACATGCAACCTAAACTGTATAGAATTGCAAAGAAAGTTAGCCGTTGGCTAATGGAAAGCACACATGCTCATTTTACTATATTTTTCAAGTCTCCTTTACAATGGTTAACATACATGGCTTTATATAGCCTCAAAATAAAACCCTTGACCTTACGTGAGGCATTTCAAGAGTTTGTAACATTCATACTTTATGACTATAATTAGCCTAATTAGCCACTATATAAATAAACCTTAAAATACATTAAAGAAACACTATACCTCTAAATTACTCTAAATTATAATCCACCCAAAATTTATAACAATGAAACTATGAAACTTGATTATTCTTCCATGTGACATGAATTGAAACATTTTATTGATAACTTTGACACTATTTTCTTCCCATCATCCTTGAAGTTTATATTACATGATTGATGTCTCGGTTCGTATCACTTTCTCTAAATTATTACTTTTGTCAACCTATATTGATTTTGGATCATTAGTGTCTAGGACATATTTGTTGTGTTTACGAGTGTACGATGTGTCCAACAAGTTTCGGAGTGTCCAAATGTCTGACACATGTCAGATAGGGACACGGTAGCCAAACTGAAGTATTTGTGCTTCTTCGATGATAAATGTATTAAGAGTTTTATGCGTGCTGAACCAATAAACTTTTTTAGCAATTGAAGCCCCATCACCAATGAAAGAACCAAAGTGCATCCTCTTGTATTCTGCAAAGGCTTCTGTCGTAGGTAAGACTGCTGACTAGTTATAAGATTCATAGTTTGTGATTGATTTCCTTAAATTCAACTTCTTGTCCATACAGATGCTGTTCCACCCGAATCATCGCTCGCTGCTGGTCAAAGAATGTCCGAGTTGGTAAAGGTGTCTCTCGTCCCCCTTCCCTCTTCGATTAACTATTTTGTGTGAAGTTTCTTTTAACAATATATTCCCCGCCTTTCATTCAAGGTATTTGTTCTTCTACACCAACTTCAGTCATTTTCCCTTGGCAAGGCTTTGCCAGAACAACCCTTTATGGACCCTCCCTCAGAAGTTTCTGAATGCTCGCGTGCAAAGGTTGCTGGGCTCGATGCATCAGGACCTAAACCGGGTGCCGAGTTGAGACTTGGTTAGTTTTAAACTTTGAATTGCTTACTTTGTTTTTCTTCATTTACACACAAATTTAGATGGTAAAGTTGTGTAGGATTCGAACGTATTTTTAATTCAATCACGTCGGCTGCTGTGAGTTTGTGAATAAACCTCCATAGTTGTTGCTTTCTAGATGGATCTGTACCTTGTAGAATTTCATTTGAGAGAGGCAAAGAGCGCCATTTTTACTTTATTGGAACTTCCATGGGAACTTCCGGATGGATAATTCTTGCTGACGAACTGCCATCAAAACTGAATCGTGGAATTATTCGAGTTGCTGCACCTCTTGCTGGATCAAATGTAAGAGTGAAAGAACTCTCGATTTCGAAAAATTAATCTTTGGCTTATCTTTAATCTTTCCTTGCTTGGATGAGAACAATTTTTTTAGTTCTTATCAGCCTAGAATTGATGAAAAGCATCCAAGATGGCTGCATTTGAGGATTCGTCCATCAACTTTACCCTTTTTGGATCATCCTGCTAAATATGGTACCCTCTTAAACTTAAAGACAGAGCCTTTTGTGGATGGGAGATGGATCCTGGCATTCCAGGACGACGATACTTGCAAATCCGCTTTATCTATGGTTTTGGAGGAGATTAATCTGCAAAGCCTGGAGGTCGAGAGACGACTTAAACCGTTGGTCGACCTCGAAAGAGCTGTAGATTTTTCCGAGATGCATTGTTAAGTTCTACTAAGTAAGTCATTGACTTGTGAGTGAATGTATTAGCTCAGAAATGCAAAGGGAAAAGGGAAAAGGAAAGTAGTTTTAGGATGTGAGAGTTTGTATCATTGTTTGTTTGTATAGTAATAGTAAGTATTCATTCATTTGTTGATCTGTAACCATCGGCTTCTGCTCTCTCCCTCATTGTGTAATCAGTAATAACATGAGTGTATAATTGATTGATTGAACTTTTAAGGTTTTCTCTCGATATTTCATCGCAAAATTCTCTATTTATTTTTGTAGAGATTAAATTTTTTGATGTATTTCTATCGTGGTTTGTAGTTAACCAGCAGTTAGTACACTTACCTCGATGAGCTTACTCCAAAAGTTTGATACTTATATGAGTTATTCGAGCTTAGGTTAACCCTAACAGTTCAAGGGCGAACCACATACTCTTGGCTAGACTACATTGTTAGATAAACATGACTTTTCACAATAGTATGATATTGTCCACTTTAAGCATAAGTTTTCATGGTTTTGCTTGGGCTTCCCAAAATGCCTCATACTAATGGAGATAGTATTTCTTGATTATAGACTTTCATCCAACATACATGTGTGTTTGGGCTAGACCACATATTTGGACCTAAGTCACATGCATCTAGGCTATGGGCTAAGTGAATTGGGTTAGACTGCGTAGGATTGGGGCTCTAGGCAGAGTGTTGAGTGATGGACTAGGTTGAATGTGTGGCTAGCCAGAAATGATTGAACTATGGATTAAATTGGTCTATCGTTTGGCCACTTGTTTTTCAGTGGTTCAATCATGACTTTCTTGTCTTCTCCTCCAGTGAGTTTTTACTGACAACTTTCAATGGTTGAAGTTGCGATGACGAGCTCTTTTCAATGACAATGACAAGCTTTGAAGGCATGATGGTGTGGTGGAATTTTAAGGAAACAGGGAGACGAAAATCTGAAGGTAAATTTGAGAGGATAAAAGAAATATTTATTAACTATTCGAATCGACTGACTTCATGCTATACGACACGATCATGAGACTAAGTCATCCTCAAAGATAGTGAAAGCAAAGAACGAATAATAGATTCATGAACGAACGATGATTTCAAACAACGACAACTCTCGAATCAAGCTTCAATAAAGTGTGAGAAATACTCACCAAATTTCTCACATTTCCCATCAATCGAGTTGAAGAACAAAATTATTGGAGAATCAATTTATTAACATAATTGATATCTTAATCGCAAGTTAAACTCGTATTAACAAATAAATTAAAAAAAAAACAAAAATTAACTTGAAACTTCAAATTTAAAATAGATAAAAAATAAAATGCTCCAAATCTAAACCTTAATAAAAAAAAATAAAAAAAAGTAAGGAATGATTACGAAATTCTTGTTTCACACGTTCAAATAACATTCGTTCATATCATATCATAAATATTTTTGTTAGGTCACAAATCCCATAAAAAAAATAATAATAATAAAAAGAAAAAGGAAAAAAAAAAAAGGAAGAACAATGATGAATGTTTCATTGGGTTCCCTTTATCACAATAAATAGGATAATTAAAAAAATTTCCCACTAAAATTCAATTATAGCTCACCTTTTTATTTTTTCAATTTTTCTATTCTTTTCTTCCAAATCCATTCATCATGAGAGACCAAATGATTGCATCCAACGGCGGATGTGGGGCCTTCACCTTTATTTATTTATTTATTTTATTTTATTAATAATTATACATTTGATTGAGATATGACATTAAAAATTCTCTTAAAAATAAATCATTTCATGTGTTCAAGATTTGGTTTGGTCTATATAATCATACGGAAATCATGCCTTGCACTTCACATGCCCATGCATTCTTGCTATCCCCTATTTTTTTTTTACCCATTTTACCCTTTTCTAATTCTTTAAACAATTTTTTTTAAATTATTTACTAAACTTAACTTACTCGATTGGGTTGAATTTTTTAAAAATCAAAAATCAATTCCGTTTCTTTCTTACAATTTGATCATCCCGAAAATAAGGTTACAACTAAATCTAACCCTACCTAACTTAATTTTTTTTTAACATATTTAACGTTTTATAACTTATGTGAATGATGTGTTAGTGACTTATAAAAACTTGATATTTTAACTTTATAAAATTTTAGTTATTAGGAACTTTTTTTAATATTTAAAGAAAAAACGGCTCCGTGTAACGACCCTAGATTTATGGTGTTCTCTCTTAAGCAGAAATAAACATAAAAAATATCATTGATTGTGAGATCTGACGTCAATTGAAGAGGGGAACGAAACATTCTTATAAGAGTATGAAAACTTCTCCGCAGTAGACGTAATTTAAAAATATTGAGGGGAAACTCGAAAAGGAAAAGTTCAAAAAAGACAATATTTACGGATGCTTGAGCGGTTATAAATGACAATATTTTACGATGATGTTTTTAATATTAATTTTCGCTCAAATAACATATTATGATGATGGTAACCACTTTAAGTTAATAAAAATCTAGGACAGTTACACGACATCCCAACTCAACCTAACCCTCTATTTTTTAATGGTAAACTATAAAGTTCTTACATTTTATCCCAACACAACTTAATCCTCTATTCTTGAGTTATAAACTCTATCAGTATCACTCGAATCACACATCCAACCAAATCCAACTCAACTCAATCCAAGTACGGTTTGATCATTTTGTTAAGTGATGTAAATGTTTGACAACACGTTCGTGGGTAAGTTTCATTACGACGTATTAAGTCCAAATAATTTGAATATGATAAGAAAGAAGAAGAAATGAAGAAAGTGAGAATGGTATTAGGAAAAGTGAGAATGGTATTAGGAAAAGTGAGAATTTTACAGTGACCATTTTCAGGCCATAATAGAAGAAACTGTGATTTTTTTAGGGAGACAAGAACCCATATACCCATTATCATCATCATCATCGTCTTCTTCTTCTTCCTCCAAAACGTGTTTTTGTTCCAAACACAGCCTTATATCTATACCCTTCCCGCCATATCTACCACTTTCCAAGCTCGTTTGAAAAATCTCCTTCACCCATTTTTCAAACGTTCTCTTAGAAAATGAACCAAATCCTTCTATAATCCTCTCTAAAACCCCCTCTTCCACTCTAAATCTACTATCCCATTTCCACTCCTTTCCCTTTTTACACTTCTCTTTGTTGTATGCCTCTCCCATTTCCCCCCTCAATTCCTCTCTTATCTCTGATTCTTGCTTTGATTTTCTGTTCAGGATGAACCGATTCGTGATCGATTCCAGAAACCCATTTGGAATCGTCGTTTCCCGCGTTAGATCGCTCGATGTTGGACTTATCTCTCCATTTGGAACTTCTTCTTCTTCTTCTTCTTCTTCAATCGCTTTGATGTTTAGATCTAGGGTGTTCTTGATGCTTGGTTGATCCCTGAAATCTGTTCTGTTCTTTTGATTCTTGATTTCCAATGCTGCGTTGGTTCTTTGGTTTTTTGATTTGTTTTCGATTTCCCATTCTGCTTTTCGCTTGTGATCTGAATTGCGTTCATCCCTAGCTTCGATCTTTAGCGTCATCTCGATTACGGAAGATGATGATGAAGAAGATGCTCTGTTCTTCATTTTGTCGGAGGAATCGTCTTTTGTTAAAATGAATATCACTTTTTTTATGCTTTCTTCTTTCACTTCTCCCAATTTCCCGCTCTGAAATCCATCTTCGAGGAGTTTCATGAACTGGGAATCCACCATATCCACATCTTCCACAAGAACTACAAGTTCTCTGTTCGATTTCAGTGCCTTTTCCAGTGTTTCAGATCTAGAAATCTCCATATCTTCGCTTTTAGCATTCAAATTCAAGAGAAAATCGACCGACCCAAATACGGATTCTGCAATTGCTACACCCATCTTTCTTTTTCCAATGAAATCATTTCCTTCCATCAAAACCCATTGGATGGATTTCTCATCGTTCTTCGCGGAAATCACTGCTTCTGCTATACAAGGAATCGATTCTAATTGCCATGGCACATTCTCTTGCAGAATCTTCAAAATCTCTCCTCGTTGGCTCTTTCTTTCGCTTTCAATTTCCATGGATTCCGCTGAAGAATCACAAAAAAGAGAATTCCCCAGCTCTAGAGTGATCTTCACTTCCTTGCCCACCATGTGTTTGAGAGAATGCAAGCATGGTTCTCGACTCTGTTCATGTTTTGTTGCAGCATTTCCAAAATCAAACTCGATTGTTGTGCATGATTGTTGCCGTCTGAATCGAGGAACAAAGCTAGAACTCTGCAATGCCTTTGGTGTTTGATGAGCCGTGAATGAAATACTAGAGCTTGATTCATGAAACTTCGGCCACCATGGATATGATGAAGAAGAACATGAGAAACTTTTCCCTGCTAAGCTCTGAACAGAGCCATCTCTGTGAAGGCTGCTACATAATTTGTTCCATTTTCTCTTCAATTCCACCAACTCGTCCTGTAGAAGTTGTGATTGATTCTTAACTTAGTCATACTTTCAAGATGATTTCAGAGGCATATTAAACAATTTACAATACCTTTGAAAGGGATTGGTTGGAGTTATAGTGTTGTAGCCAAGAGGGAACTTGTTTGGAGTGGAAAGATTTCAAGTGTTGGACTTCATTTTCGAAATTTGTAGTGCACTCTGCGCAGCAAGTAAGGTGTTCATGTTCTTCTTTGGCGATGAATGGCTTTGTTTCCATGGGTTGAGAGAAGAAGCTCAGCCTTGAATCATAAGCACTGCGCGCCATAACAGAGTTGTAAAAGTTTAGCAGAGATGAGAGACAGTGAAAGAAAAAGAGAGAGAAAGGATTTGTGTTTAATTTCTCCGAGTAAAACTCTGTGAATCAAAACCATGCGTGGTTGAATCATAACGAAGAAAAGGAGGAAACACAAAGGACAATATCCCATCTGACTTTCCCCCAACATTACTTTTTTCTTTTATGTTTCTGTCCTTATTCTCATCAGATCATGTCTCTACCCACCACCCTAACACAAGTACAAACCCTCAGACTGGAGCTCTCCACCATGCTATGATGATATTGTTCACTTTAAAAATACAAGTTCTCGTGATTTTTCCAAAAGGCCTCGTACCAATAAGGATCTCATGATCCTTTCTTAAATTAACCAATGCGAGACTTCCCTCTGTAAGATCCTACACGGTTGAGGAGGAGAACAAAGCACCCTTTATAAGAGTGTGTAAGTCTCAAAACCCAAAAGGGAGGACAATATTTGCTCGTGGTGAGTTTCAACCATTACACCCTCCCAATAATTCTCAACCGAAACTTCAAAAACATGATGATTATGTAGGTTCCAACCGGATGAATACTTTTGAGTAAATTTTAAACCGAGAAGACAGGCTAGAAAAATGATTCACACATGACTGAAAAATGAACAAACAAAATAGAGTGATAAGAGAGAGAGAGAGAGGAATGGTACCTAGAAGCATGGAGAGACAAGGCAAGAGAAGAAGAGGAAGGAACAGGAAGAACATGAAGATCCCACTGAGTTTCGAGAGGAGGCTGTCTCATTTGACATCTCATGTAATTC